GGGGGCGGCAGTGTGGTGGGACCGGCGGCATTTGTCGTTCCTCCCCACGGGGATAATTCGAGAAGTGCGGTCCGGTTAGGGAGAGAAATCAGGAGAGAAAATGAGAAAGGGAATCCTCGTTTCCCTTCAAAGCTGGACGACCCACTCGCATATCTCCTTTTTGGGAGATTCGCGTGTAACTCAGCACAAACAGGGAATACCCCGGAGTGCGCGCGAGTTCCCGTCCGAGTCTGGAGAGGGGGAGGCTGAACGTCTGGTCCAGACGGGTGCAGGACGCGGGGGCCAGGCCTCCTGCTGCGGAAGAAGAGGGGGAAGAGGCCGCGCGGGAGGGACTTCTGACACGTACCACTGTTTTTGTTTTCAAAGAAGGGTACTTAATCGAAACTAGCAATCCCAGGCGGTACAGGGCCCTCCATTGTAGGCAAAGCACCACCTGAATGTAGATTTGGGGCCATACATTGGAAAATAAGACATGAGAGTATGCTCCAATCCACCTTTACTGTTTACTGGACAGCTATTTTGGGTAAGAAAAACAGGGAAAGTTAATGAAGAATTGGCGTTGGTGCGGGGGTGTCTTGTAGGACAATAGAGGAAGGTTAGATGGGTACCCAGTTTCCAGCAAAAGTGTACCATTATGGGTTAAAATTGGCACCAGTTATTAGAGTATGAGGTCGTTCATGCATGTGAAATATGATCTCAGTATAAAAAAGACCACCACCGATTGTGTGAAGGCACATTATAAAGAGTACCTGGAGGTGCACACTGGGCAAGTGCAGCCTGGTATGAAAGAGAGTGGGCCTTGATGTCACACAAGCTGGGTTTGAATCCTCCCTCTCCTACCAGTTTACTGTGTGACCTTGGAGAAGTTACCTAGCCCTTCTGTGCCTCAGTTTCCTTTTAGGAACATGGGGATAATGATGATGATGATAGTGATAATTATACCTGCACTTCATAGTATTTTTTTGAGGACTAAATGGTGTAATTATATATAAAGGTCTTAAAATGGTGTTTGGGACGTAAGTTCTATGTATATATATGGTATTTATAAAACTCCTTTTCTAGTATGTCTGAACTTTCTTGTAACCATAAAAGATTACTTTTTGAGATTACTTCTTTAGAGTCTGTTTCTTTAGATGCTCTGTCAACCTTTTTTTTTTTTTTTTTTTTTGAGACAGAGTTTCGCTCTTGTTGCCCAAGTTGGAGTGCAATGGCGCGATCTGGGCTCACTGCAAACTCCGCCCCCCGGGTTCAAGCGATTCTTCTGCCTCAGCCTCCCGAGTAGCTGGGATTACAGGCGCACGCACACCCCTGCCAGCCGTTTTGATAGCTACCACTAAATACATTTTAAGGTATGGGTATAATACTATGTGCACGTAAAGACTTAACTACACAGATGTTCACTGGAGGGTGAGTTGTAATAATGAATATTGGAAATAGCCTACATTCTTACCACAGGGGACTAAGTAAATTATAGAACATCCAGACAATCTTGTTTATGAAAGAGCATGGGCCTTGATGTCACACAAGCTGAGTTTGAATCTTCCCTCTCCTACCAGTTTAAGCAGCCATTAAAAATAAAAAACATAGAAACAGACTCTATGTTTAAGCAACCATTAAACATAATTTCTAGAAACATGTTATAGACATCATAATAATGTCTACTAATTATATAAAGCAAACTGTGCCCCAAAACGCCAGCCCACTGCCTGTTTTTACATCCATTTTTACGTTTTTTATGGTTGAAAAAAATCAGAAAAATATTTCATGATATGTGAACATTATATAAAATTCGAATTCAGTGTCCATAAAGTTTTATTGGAACCTGGTCACGTTCATTTTTATGGCTGCTTTCATGCTGCCAACGCAGCTTTGATTAGTTACAACAGAAACCTTACAGCCGGCAAAGCCTAAAATGTTTACTGTCTGGCTCTACAGAAGAAGCTTACTGGCCCCTCACATAGAGTATACTTTGTGTCAGGCAGTGTTATAAGTGACTCAGATATATCGTCACCTATTACACACCCACTGCTTACCTTCAGGATAGGACACCTGTAAGGCATGTAGATCATATAAAGACAGCACGTTTTTATGAAAAGAGCACTGAATTATCGTAAGATTTGAGTTCTAGCCTTTGACAGAGTCTGTGTTTTCTTTGAGTCTGTGTTCTATAGAAAGTGAAGATTGGAAAACTAATCCCCTCACTATAACCCATCTAGGGTTAAAACCATTATTTATAATGAGTATCTTACTGTATTTGAATTTCTTATCTCAGATGTATGAATAGTAGCTTTATAAAATTCAAAGCAAGAATTCTAGACACAGAAACCAGGATATGGGAATGCGTTAAGCTCCCTGGTCTCCTCCTGCTGGCCACAGAAAGGTCAGATGGAAAGCTTCCGAGCGCTATTTGAAAGTTAATATGAAGCAAGGAGCTAATTTGCACATACATGTAGAATGAAAGGGTAAGAAGCATAAATAACAAAATACAGGGCAGTCTGTCTCCTCTGTAAAAACTCTGGCAAGTGTTAGATTGACATCGTGATTTTTACCTTTATTTCTCCATAGGCATCCTAGTCTACTTTTACCACTTGGATAAAACCTTAATGAGACTTCAAAGTTCAGATAGAATAAGTTTTGTGAAAATAAAACAAGATCTGAGGGAGTCACTTGTTTTAAAAGTACTCATATATTGGGAGGCCGAAGAGGGCAGATCACCTGAGGTCAGGAGTTCTAGCCAACATAGTGAAACCCCATTTCTACCAAAAACTACAAAAATTAGCCTGGCATGGTGGTGCATGCCGGTAATCCAGCTACTCTGGAGGCTGAGGGTCAGGAATCGCTTGAACCCGGGAGGCAGAGGTTGCAATCAGCCGAGATCACACCGCTGCACTCCATCCTGGGCAATAGAGTGAGACTCTGTCTCAAATAAAAAACAAAAAACAAGTACTCACATAAGTATCATTATCTTCCTTATCTATAAATCTGCCCATGGTATACATCAGTGTAGATGTTATTTCAACTGTTATTACTAATTGCATGGAGACTATAGCTACTTCTGATAGTCTCATAGCAGACAGTTCTGGTCACGACTGGTTTCTGAACCTACATTCCTCTCATTAATTGTTGCATTAACCTTTTCAGTGACCAGTTTGAAAACGAACCTCACTGATTGTTTTTACATTTCTTTTGATTTTTAAAAAATTAATGGACTTTTTTAAAGAGCAGTTTAAGTTTACAGATGACTGAGCAGATAGCTTCCCCCATTATTAACACCTTGCATTAGTGTGGTATGTGTGTCACAAAGGAAGAACTCAAATTGATCCACCATTATTAGCAAAGGTCTGTAGTTTCCTTTATGGTTCACTCTTCATGCTGTAGATTCTGCAGGTTTTGCCAAATGTATAATGTCATGCATCCACCATTACAGTATCATACAGAACAATCTCAATCTACTGTGCTCCAGTTCTTCATCCCTCTGTCTATCCTCCTCCCACACCTCTGGCAACCACTAATCTTTTTACTGTCTTCATAGTTTTGCCTTTTCCAAAATATCCTATTGTTGGCCTTATATGATGTATTGCCTTTTCAGATTGGCTTCTTTCACTAAGCAGTATGCATTTAAGTTTCCTCCATGCCTTTTTTTAAAAAATGTGATATATCTATATATTGTGAAATGATTAGCACAATCAAATTAGTTGACACATCCATCACCTCAGTTACCATTTTTATGTGTGTAGTGAGAATATGTAAGATCTACTCTCTTAGCAAATTCAGTTATGAAATACAATATGGCTAACTGGAGCCACTACTCCATACATTGGATCCCCAGAGCTTATTCATCTTGTAACTGGAAGTTTGTACCCTTTGACCACGTTCTCCCCCAATTTCCCCACTCTTCAGCCCCTAGTAACTGTATTC